TTTTACCTGCAGGCAGAAAAAGAGGCGGGGCTTAGAGCTGCAGCGGCGCCAACGCCGACCCAACGGCGAGCAGGGTTTGCCCAAAAGCGCCAGTTTCTAACTACAAAATGCTGGTTCATGGTTCAGAACGCCATAAAATGCCGCTTTTTCACACCATTTTAGTCACTGAACGCCGTTTTCCTAAAGACAATAAAAGACAGCGAGGAAAGAAAGACGGCGAGTTTTGCAGAAAGCACGAAACATCCCCCCACAGAAAACCCCAAAACTCTGTCCAGCTCGGCTGAGCTCGTGATTGGAGGGATGGTTTATTCTACAAAACCAAAAAAACTCATTTAATTGATCCAACTGAAGGCACAACTCAAATAGTCACTTGTTGCTCTTTGGTTTCTGGTTTCAGCCAAATTGAAGTTCCTTCATTCACTTTATTAATAAAAAATCCACCAAAAGATAAGCACAAACTAAATTGAAAAAATTAACAAAAAACAAAGAAACGGCTCCTACAGAGAGTCTGAAGCTGTACTTGTTTAGGTTTAAACTGAGTGAGAAACATTTGGGGGGGTCCTTGCAAAATGTATCATAACGCCGTCTTTTGCGGCGTAATAAGTGTCAGAAGCGGCGTTTTTATTCTGGTTGTTTTGATGCCGCCAGATAAATGAAGAACTTGGGACTGAAACCCTTAAGTTTAAACGTCCTCGCTGAGTTGTGACCCCACAAAGACAATGAGTCGTCCAGTCAGACGTCCGAGAACGATGTTATTTAATCATTTAAAGGAAAATTATATGCTTTTATATGTAAAAAGAGTGGGGTTTTTTAGGGCCAGCTATAAAGTTTCCTCCCTCTGAAAGCAGGTATTTGTGCCCCTGGTAATACAGTGGGGGAAATAAGTATTTGACCCCTTGAAAATTTTGCAGGTTTGCCCACTTACTTAGAATGCAACGATCTATAACTTTAATCATATGTACATTCTAACAGTGAAAGACAGAATCCCAAAGAAAATTCCAGAAAATCACATCACATGAACTGATAAAAATTGATAACCATCTGATGAGGAAAAACAAGCATTCTTTGTAAGTGGGCAAACCTGCAAAATCAGCAAGGGGTCAAATACTTATTTCCCCCCACTGTATATGTCATAATAAGCCTTTTAGTTTTTACTTCTACCGACGTTTTGAACGAATTTCAGTCTCATTTTATGGCGTTTTGAACCAAAAACAGGCGTTTTGGGGGTTTTGTATTGGGCGACTCTTCATCCAGACCGGAGCTTTTTTGGCCCGGCGGGCTTCCCGTAGGGCTCACCCTTGCGCGCCTGCTTGCGGGTGGTTTTCCGGCAGCAGTGGCCGAAGCCCGGCACCGGCTTGATGTCGCCCTTGCTGACGGGCGGGGGGTGCAGCACCAGCTTGGGGGGCCGGGTCAGGCAGACGGGCAGCGCGGCCGCGCTCCTCAGGATCCCCGGGATGCCTGAAACGAGGGGGGGGGGGGGTCAGCGGAGGGAAAACCGGACCGGACCGGACCGGACCGGGAGAGGACTCACCCACTTTAAAAACTCCTAAAAATAGGTTAAATGTTTAGCCCTCCGTTTGTGCAGGTTTGTGCTTTTAAACGCCTCGTTTGTGCTGCTTTAATTCTTTTTTTTATGTATAGTCAAATAAATTTTAAAAGATAATAGTATATATTCATTAAGAAATGAATAAATTATAGTTTATTTATTAATCTCTGGATCAGGAGGAGCTGATAAGTTTAATAACTAGACTTTGTCCTGGTTCAGGTAGTTTTTATTCATATATGCTCAGTAGGTTTATTTTTAGAATTAATATGATTGCAAATAGATTTAATTAAATGTTTTTGCTATTTAGGTTCCAAATGACTTATTTATAACATTTTCATTCCAAAATAAGAACACGATTGGTGTAAAATGTCTAAAAGCATTTTCCTTAAGATTTTTAATTGTTTAGTGTCTGATAGCGTCTGCTATGAGGCCAAGAGGTCAAAGGTCAAAGGCAATTAAGATTTTGGTCGACCCAGAACATATGTAGGACTTTACAGCCCCAGGAATAACGAGTATGTTAACAGAATTTTTCAAAAGTCACGATGAGCTGAAAACGTGAAACTCTGAGAGCTGCTTTAAACATCAGAATGTGAATGAGAGCTCCTCCCGGTTCTGGTTCTGGTTCTGGAGGCAAAGGGAACCACAAAAGTTCCTTATTCAGCGATAAACTGAGAGCTGCTTGAGTCCACCTGTCTCAGGTGTGTTGGGCTGATCCAAAAACAGTTAAAACAGGGGGGCCTGAGAACCAGGCTGCTCTGGACACCCCCCCTGTTAGCACTTGGTACATTCCACCTGATTAAATGAACAATTAACCCCAGACTGGATGAAAACAACAGGCAAATTGGACGGACAATCAGAATTTAGGTTGAAACAGAAGCTATTGACCACTGAGTGGACGGGGCTTACCGGCCA